ATTGTGCATTCAAAAGCATACTGTAGATCGTTTTTTCAGAAGCTCTATCGGCACAGATGCTTACGATGCTTATGTGAAGCAGTTTCAAGAATGGGAAAAGGACGTGGAGAAGCGGCGCAAGTCTCTGCGGGGAAAGGTGACGTTCTCTAGATATACGGTTCCATTCGATGCTCATGTACACATACCTTTTTAAGGTCCAATGTGCCCCAATCTTTTCTATGTGGGGCATGGGAACCCTAAGGCTCTCGCTGAGCTTTAACACATGACAGACGGCGCACATCACATAGTGATGCACGCGAACACGAAGAAGGGACTCTTTTCGCTTGACTTTGACATTTTTGATGTTCTAAAACTATACGCTTCCATTACGGGATTCAAAAAGAATATATCCATCACCGATAATGAAGTTAATGTTTCTTCAATGAGAATATGAGACAAGACGCGGCAATACGTGCACATCGGCGGTCCGTCATGTGTTAACTAGCCTCACACAGCGGTTTCTTGTGTGAGTAGAATTCTGCAACTCGCTTTTCGAAATTCGACATTCGTGAGGTATTTGCTACGGGACCTCGAAATGCTTCAATTTTGTTAATGTCATTCTGGGAATTGTGAATTTTACAAGTGGTAATGAAGTTAGGCTAGTGTGACATCTCAAAGCTTCAACACTAAACAATATGAAGAAGGAAAAATTCATTTTCAAGGTTCACGTAAGCACTTGAACCCTATTCTCATAAATCTGATATGATGTATGCATTCGTGGGGGGCGCTTCGCGAAATACGGGGCGGGGCATTGGTTGACAGAGCATCTAAAACCTCGTAAAAGATTTTTTTTCGTTGGAAGCGAGACTAAGCCTCAGGCGGGAGGGGGGAGCCTCCAGGGTGGTGAGCAATTTTCATTTTCCTCAAATTTCTTGTGCCCTTCTAGGCTTAGTTCCAGATGATGTCCCGTATTTGCGATCGCGTCTGTGGGAGATATGTCACTATGATATGAATTACTCTCTTTCATGAAGTAAGCTTTCAAAAGGCTGAAAACATACTTCTTGACTTCGAAGATGCTCTTGTTTACTTCCATTCCTGATATGTGGCATATTTTCAGTATGACCCAATTCATCAAAACCAATGCGATCTATTTCTAGCGCTGGCTCTAGTTTTGGTTCTAAGCTTCTGGGTCTTCCAATATTTCAAAGCAGATTCTAGGCGGAGCGAGAGGCGAACGAATTACGTGCCCAGAAGGAAGAGGAGGAAAAGGCAAAGCGAATACAGGAAGCTAAAGAAGGTGAAGAACGTCTCTTATGTCAGTGAAGTTTTATTTTGATTCGAATGAAGAAAATTTCAAAATTAAGTTTCAGTTTTCTTTCTTGACATTGATTCGATAATATGTTTTTATCTTTTCGGACTGAGCGCTATTTATTTGCATTTCGATGCAATGTGGTTTCGAGTGAAAAGTTTCTTCCGCAAATCTATTATCAATCACCTCGAAAAAGTACAGACGTGTAGTCGATCTTCAGAGAACGGACACTGATTACAACCTGATGATGTGCAATCATATACAAGTTAAATCATGACGAGTCCCTCAATTCGATATGTAAACCAGAAATGAGGATTGTACGCTGCTAGAATAGCACCTTGTCGGTACGGACTCGCAAATACGGTAATGAGGTAATCTTACCTTTCCAAAGGGTTCCTTATTTGTCATGACACCCTTTCTCTCTACTTTCACGACAGCGGTATAGTTATCTGGCGTTCGGAATTGTCCCTTGTCTTCGAGATTTGTGGAAGCGAAGAAGTGAGAGAGTAGAATAGCATGAAGTTGGAGTGGGGAGTGAGCGGAGTAAGAACAACAAAAGATGGATACATATGCGGTGGAGTAAGAAAGCGAAGGATGACGAAAATTCAGCGGTAGTGTAGGAAAGTGACACGGCGTTGGACAAATGGGAATGTGCTGAGGCGGCAAGTGGTATTCTGCGCCATAATTGGTTTTTATAATGGCCTGCCTTGGGTGGGAAGGGGGGGGTGGGAGGAGCTACAGCACGAGCGGTAGGCCATGGATCGGTGTTTGTGAATATTATTTATTTATTTATTTATTCATTTATTTATTTATTACTATGCACTCGTATGTTGCTCTACAACAGTTCTTCAGGAACCAAATCAGTTAAATAAAAAAAATAAAATAATAAAACAAAATGAAATAAAAAATAATAAAAAATAAAATAAAATAAAAAATAAAACAAATTAGCACTATTTTACCCACAAGCGGGAAGTTCTCAGACACCAGCTATGATGCATTTAAACGAGACTACCGCAACTGCAACATGCTATTTAGGGGCTATGATCGCACTGTCCAAGTAGATGATGTAGTTTAAACGAGACTACCGCAACTGCAACATGCTATTTAGGGGCTATGATCGCACTGTCTAAGTAATTGTGTGGACTTGGTAATGTTTTTGGTTTTTGATACGGTTTTTGGTTCTGAAAAAAGCTAATTATATGGTACGTCGTGCAACGAGATCGATCATTACCGAAAGCTCAATTTTTTTCAATTGCAGAAAGTTGATTTTGAGGCATCTTAAGGTTTTTGGAGGAAAACCGTCGTAATGGCTGGGAGGGTCCACCTTAAGGAGTAGGAGGATATTTTCTGGAAAATTCCATTAGTTCTGAAACATGTTAAATACTTCTCAAACGGCCGAAGTCTGTGCCGTACCTTTTTGTTTTTCTTAGTACCATCGACTCAGCCGTGAAAGAAAAAATGAACAAAGTGGTGTTATAGGAAGCAGGGAGGGGGGAAATGTTGACTTCCCTCCCAACGCGTAAACAGGCAGATTCTAGAGGTGCAGTATAGTAAGAATAAAACAGGTGTTAGAGCATGAGGCAGAGGGTGGTTGCGAAGTTCTCACTATGAAGCTCCCATAAAACCGACCAGTCATACTTCATAAATCGCTCTTGTAAGGTGGAGGACAGTTCAGGTCGACAGCAAACAACTGTACTGTTTGTTGTAGAGCTAACCGCTCATGTAGCTGCAATGGTTGTTAGCACTGATAGCACTCACATAAGCTGGTGCCCTTTAAACAAATAATGGGAAATGTTAGCCATAAAGGCAGCTGTTATGAAGCAGAAAGAACAATTTGAGTTTATACTCGCGTGTAAATTATGTTCCCAATGCCACTATTGCTGAGGAACGCCATTGTGGCTGGGAATGCTACTTAAAATGGCTCTTAAAAACATTTCGATATAAGTACAGTGAATAAAAACATTTTGATATATATACAGTGAATAAACAATGCGCCAAAATATCGTAACAAAGGACCCTGACACAAAAACATAATTTTAAAATGAAACACACATACGTGACGTCACAGCAACGGAGACGCTGCAAGATCAATAGATATAGTTGCCTCCGGCACGAATTACAGTCAGTGAAGCTTCGGATGGCTTCGACGTCGGCACGCGACATGAAACCCTTTCCACTGACGAGGTGCTATTCAACGTGAAAGAGAAGATAAAGGTCCAGAAAGCATACGTGCTTGCTGCCAGAATTTAGGCAGTTGATGAGGAAAAGTAGATGATTTTTGTACAACTTGTATCTTCTTCTGAAATGATTCGGGTTTGCAGTTTTACGAACAGCGCTCGTTTTTGTCGAGAAAGTCTTCAGGATCAAGTCCAGACGATCAGTTTACCGTGGTGATAATGTAAAGAAGAACTGCTACAGCAAAGAATCTTCTCGAAATAACTGACGAGAAACTTTCAACTTGTCTGAAAGTGAAAAAAAGTAAAGGAAGTTTTAGTACTGGTACAGCACCAACGTTGCCCGATTTTTCCCTGGGTCTCATTATAATGAAAAAAGAAATTCGTCGTACGTCAGCACAGTGAATCCATACCAAAGACTGAGAACTGATCTGTTAAGTGGACTACATCATGAGTTCCGTGACGAATCGGCCTGAACAAAATCTCTGACGAAATTTCGCAATAAGCTGCTTGCCGTCGTCGAACAAGGAGTTCCTACTAGCTGTAAGGCCGATGTCTGACATTTCGCGAATCGAGCGGTTTGCTGGCGGCGACATGAGCGTGGACGCTACCGAGTCGCTAGTAACGAACGCTCGATTCGCAAAGTCTGACATCGGCCTGAATAGTGTAAATGTGTTGTTACCACTTTTAATTCCCACTAGGAATTTTATTTCAATCACTCAGTTCACTGGACTTATTGTAAATGTGTTTCTTTTCTTATTTTCACTTTTCTAGTATTAACTCCGAACCTGTTTAGCAGAAGCAGCGGCAGCATACGCACAATCTCAGCAAGCGTATATTGCGCACCACCAGGCTGCGTTGGAGCAAGAACAGCAGAGAATTCAGGTATTTTCGCTACTTCTTTTTTTTTTTTTAATTTTTAAAAATTTCTTGTAAGAAATCGCTCTTATAGCTGAGTTTCTGAGTGAAGTTAATGCAAGCCTCAGCCCGTACCCGCTATCCTTCTTCAGGGGAACTAGTCCCACTCTCTCGATGCTATCCTCCACCCGGCCGGGGAGTGGAAGATAGGGTTGCGTTTATGGATACAATGGAACATTGAACTGTGCTGTTTATTATATTTATTTTACCCTCTGCTTCTGGAGTACAGTCTTTCTGAGAGATCATGTTGCTCCATCACGAAAGTAGGAGTGCCGAGAACTGACAGGTCCCTTGTCGTGACCCTGTTTCTCCCAACCTCAAGATAGCATCGTGAGAAGGGACGCGTTCCCGCCGGGAAGCAACTGGCCCTTGATTCAATTGTTATACAGGCTCAACAACAAGCTGCACAATTGGCTGCTCAAGTTGCTGCTCAACAACAGCAACATTTTGCAAATGCACCTCAACATGTTACTCAGATGACTAGTCAAGTTTCTCATGGGCAAGGTATGAATTGTCGCGCTCTCGCATAGTTAGCCTGTTAGTATATGGGTTCGCTTTGGTGGACTTTTACTAAGTATTACGACGACTGATTACAGGTGATTTGAATGCGGAGAACGTCTTCAAAGAAATGGTCAATGTTGTTATGGGAGGAGCGGCTGCTGCATTGGGTACAAGTCAGTTATTCATCATTCCCTAGCGGTCGTTTGTTGAATAGCTGAGCGATTACTTTGGGTTATGTTTTAGCAGTCACACAACAACCCCCTCCATCCATGCCTGGCGCACCTGGCCCTGCTGGACCGCCACCACAACTGTGGGGGAACACCAAAGTGACGTACGACATGAAGGTATAGTGAAAATCTTTACTTATCCCCTCTTCTTTGGCTTGTCAACAGGAATGAGTTAAAGAAAGGTACGCGGCAACCCAAGAACGCAATGAAGCTGCCTTTTAGGGGGAGGACGGTGAGTAGGAGAGTAAATGCAGCCTTCCAAGCAGGAAAATCTACTCATTTCCCTATTCCGCCCACTTCAGCATGTTTTCCTAAGGGGCCAAAAAGTCACCCCTGTATTACAAAACGGCCTCCTTTTCTTCTTCTTAACATATGCTCCCCTCCAAAAATCACAAATACGATTTCGCTGTGAATTTAAAGGACAGGTGCTTTACTTAGAAGTGAAAGCGAAGTGTTCTTATAAGTATGTACGTATCGCTCAGCAAACATAGGTAACAGTAGCTGAGGTTTGTGTGAAACCCCTGTAGTATATAAGAAGTGATGAGAATGGGGTGGGGGGGGGACAGGAAATGACAGACGTTTTAAGGAATGGTGAGATGGGGAGTTGTGCACCGACAATAGTAGAAATGAAGCGTAGCAAAGTCTACCTCATAAGAGTAACAGGCCGTGGAGGAAAGCTGGGTGAGAAGTGGTTGAGGAAGATGTACCAGAAACGAGGAAGCTGTGAAAGGAGGTATCAATAGATGCGGTGATTGGAGAAGCATAGAAGGGTAAGAAACATGGAGAGAAAAAAAATTACGCACGAAGAAATGATCGCCGAAAACCTAGTGATATGAAGGTATAGAAGCAGCGAAAGGCAGCTAACGGTGAGTAGCAACTATACTGGTGAAGGTTGAAATCTGACGGGAAGCTGCCCTAGATTCACTGCTTTTCTCTTCATTCTCCGTTCTACAAAAAACTTTTTACAACGTAGCTGTTTCAGGATCCATTGTTCCTCAGGTGGGGAGCTCGAGCTGCGCCTGCACACAATCCTCCATGTATCCGACCACCGATGGTGAGGACTTTTTTTCCGTTTTTTTTTTCAGTTAAGTGTAACTCAGATTTTTTGTTACAGCCTGTCGGACCTTGTTGGATGTTAGAAAATGCGCTCAGAGAGAACAAAATGGCCGTGGCTCCAGGACCAAATTTGCCTCCGCCCCTATTTATTCAACCACCACCGATAATGTGATATGAGTAGCCTATCTTGGCAGATTTCCCTAGAACATAAGCGACATCGAGCCGTTATTATGAATTTTCAGAATATGAGGAGTAAGTTTGTGTTGTGAATATGTAGAATTCTTCCGCTTTACGAGTGAATTTATAATAATGTTGTTGTAGTTGTTCAATTTCAACCTATTTTTCCCTTTTTTCTTGCTTTGCCAGTGACTTCTTTCCACACCGGCTTGCATCATGTATATACATCATTCCTAAAAGGTTTTTTTGGAACCACTTTCATTACTTTTAGAAATACAGATAATACAAGTAAATAATAGTTGTTATTCGTTCCATGTTCGAGCAGCTTTTCCTGTTACAAATGGTTTTTCTTCGTTGACTGTAAATTATCGTGATTTGTTTTCACTATTTATAACATCTTGGTCAATGACCTATATTCTCATTTTCTATAGGTTGTTACAGCAAAATGGTTGACCTAAATCTAGAATTTC